GAAAATCCAGAGCATCAGAAAGTGCATGTCCTTACAAAACTGGCCCCAATTCACCTCATCTTTTATTCTTCATGGCATTGAATTCATTAAGTGGTTAGAAACTTACCTGCAGCAGGCATAGCTGCTGAATATTGCTGTCTTGACAAGAATATAGGTATTCATCTGACTAAACTTGCCTCCAGTTAAGGGAAATAATGCAATATGAGTAATCAAATGGATTGAAGCCCAGGAAATGGACCATTCTTCTAAAGTAAAGCAGCAAGTCCTTAAATAAAAAGAATTTGTGTCCTTCTCAGAAATGCTACAGACCAGCTTCATCCAGTTTCTAAAGATAAATCACTGCTGAATTTCACTTTGAATTTAACTAGGTGCTGGCCAGAACACTAATGAGTTCAATGATGCTGAGAGCAAGAGGTTTTCAACACCATCACCCCAAATAACATGTAGCCACAACAATCGATGTGTCCGTAGGCCAGGCATTCCCAATGGCCTTCGTTACCTAAACTCTGAAATCTTTGTTTGTCTTCAATGTTTAAACTGGGTAAGAAAGTCATATGCAAAATAGGCAAAAAGAAGCATTTAAGTGAGATTGTCTCACATGCCACACCCCTGCTATCAGTTATTTGGCAGGTCAGGTAACAAGCATTGCAGTGAGTGTGGAAAACGGGAATATTTACAGGAGAAATGAGAGCATCGAAATTGCATTAAAGATAGTAGCAATAAGCACACAGCAAGGCGGAATACTCTGTTATGTCCTTCAGATTTGTTACCAAGTTCCTTGCTATTCTTCCCCAACAGATTTTTGTACATGTGGCAATTTTGATTAAGTCATCAATCTCAAGTGTTTTTCCTGAGCATTTATCATTCCGTAGGCCCGGGGAAGAATAACTAGCTGGTTTTATCTGATAATAGGGAAACTGAAGTACCCCTGCTTTTCTTTACCATTGCCCATTTTCCCTGCTTCTCCCAAATTGGAGAAGCAAAACCAAAACCAAGTGCATATTAGCTTTACAGAAAGACACATAAATCTGTTTTGTTTTTTTTCCCACAACAGGACATTTCAAAACTAATGATGTCATGTATGAATTTTATAGAGGCACTGTTGCTCATTTTTGAGTTGTCCTGTTCCCTTAGATTGAAATTCAGCAATGAATTTCCAAAAGCTAATAGGTTTGAATTCTGATCTTTTACTCTGTGTTGGGCAAAACATCGGGACAAGAGCTCACGTGCTGCCATCTGAATATGTTTGAGGAGAGAGAAAGGATACTGGCCCATTAGAGCCTTCTTTCCAGGAGCTTTTCCACCTCCTCTCCCTGTAAATTGCTGCTGGAGTTGTTGTTCTAGCAACACTAATGGCAATTAGGATCTGAAAGCTCTGGATCAATTAAAGCAGGCAGTCTCAGGCAGCAGGAGATCTGCTGCTGGACTGGCTGGCAGCATGTCTTTTCCAAAGCTGTCATTGTCCTTGACCCTATCAACAGAGACGATAAGTAGAAATTATTTACAGTGACGGATAACAACAGTATCTTTTCTTGATGTCTCATGAACTGCCTTCGCTTTTAGAATAAATCTTAACAGTCAGGAGTCACTAAGCATAAAATATAGACACAAAAGTCTTACATCTCTAAATAACAATTATCAGATTCCTTTTCCAATAAGCAGAAGACTTTTTCATGTATCTAGAAATCTATTTAATATTTAATGGACTCCTAAATTATTCACAGGTTAAAGTGTTCAAATGTTGCTGTCATTTAAAGAGCAACTACCCAGCAGGAGTCTTGCATGGGGCTTTGTAGATCACATCAAAGCATAACATTTGATTCATTAAAGAAATGTTATACTTTCAAAAGTAATAGCATCCAATTTATATTCTGTTAGTCCTGGCCTGACTAATAAAAGACATGGTGAGATTTCCTGTTTTGATTCTTATCTACCTGCTTAGTAAAACTTTTCACCATCTGACAACAAATTTGGGATCCCAAGTCACTTGGTATTGTTCCAAGAAAATCTGTGAACTCTGTTAGGTGGAGAAACTTTTGGTTTTTTCTGCAGTCCTGGATAACTAAAACAATATGCTTAGTTTTGAATGTAGTTTTTAACGCTGCTCAGCTTTCTGGAAATGGTATGCACGAATAGAATATCTAGAGCTTGACATTGATGTAAATCAGGGCAACTCCCCGAACTTTGGCAGAAAATGGGATCTAGTTTTTTGCCTCCTAAGGAAATGTCATCCCTGATCTTCTCATTTACTCAAGTTTATCCTGCTCAAATAAAGCAAAGGTAGTAAAATTAAGTTCCCGTGATTTATTTTTGCTTTATGGTGTCTGCTCGAATCCCTTGAAAACATTGTTTTGGAAAATAAAACAGAAAAATCAAAAATGAGGAAGAAGAGGATGGAAGTTTTCTTCACTTAAAAGCCTCTTTGGCAAGGACCATCTTTCCTATTCTGCATTTTGTAAGCACCTTTTACTACTGGATATTGGTTTGTGCAGTTCCTCAGTCCCATTGGTGAAAGCTTGATTTTTTTTTATATGAAGTGCCTATCCTCCATATGCCTCTGCCCTGTGGGGCCCATTGACTGTGGTGCCACGCGAGGGCATGTGTCCTGAAGAACTTGGTGGTGGTGGTTGATAGCACTGGTGTGGCAGCTATACCCAAACAACCGTCCTGACTCTTCCCCAGGCACGGCTCACCCTTTTGGAGAGGGCAAAGCGGAGGCATCCCCCAGGTCTTTCCTAGCTGCTCGTGGGATTTTGAGGGTGTGGGGAGGAAGCAGCTGTGCTGGGGCTCCCCCAGCAGCAGGGTGGCAGCCCTTGGACTTGCTCTTCCAGCAAGAGCTTTGCTGAGGCATTCTTGAGCTTTTTGTCTGTAATAGGAGGGAGGGAAAAAAATCAAGGCTTGTCCTGCAGAAACTTGACTAGCTTGCTGTTGATCGTAGTGGTAGGGAACTCAAAAACAGTACAGTAAAGTTGCCTAGGAATTTCTTACTAGGTGTTCTCCAAGATCTTTTACCAGTGAGAGGAGGATGTGTATAAGCTAGGATCAGCCTTTCCATGTATACGCTGATAAGAAACTGCACATTGTTTAGTACTGATTTCCACAGAGAGGGAGTTTAATTCTCTGTTTTATGGACAGGTTTCTCTCCAAACAGTAATACTTTATTACTGTATTTTACAATACAAGCGATCATATACTACCTAGAAATACAGGGCGTATGGAGAGGAGGGGAAGACCCTAAGTAGCCCTTGCAAAACACCTAGGATGAGGGAGAATGGCTATAGTGTTGTTCACAGGGTCCTGAAGGTACAGTCTTCTTTAGAAACATCAGAAGGATGGGAAAATGGAGGCATTAATGTCCATCGATCTTCAGCTAATGTCCAGGAATCGTTCCTGTGTGTGCTCACACGTGCCAGCTGACACGGGTCCCAGAGCGCTGATTTCTTTTCAGTCCCTAGAGCTGCTCTTTTTTTTTTTAAAGCTGCTGTGCTGACTCTTCAAAGGGTAGAAGATTTTCATTTGATGAATTACAGAGTTATCTATCCTTGTCTGTTAATTGCATGGAGAAATTTCTTTGTGACTTGTTTTCAAAGTCATAATGGTGTTATTTCTTACTCTATGTCTGTAAGGTTTTGAGTGGAAGGAAACTAAACTGTTCTGATACTATTTCAGGTAATTCAGATATTTGTTTTCATTTCTGGGTTTGGGGGCTACCTCAGGTTGTGTATTTGTTTCATAGATAAGACCTGCTGAAATGGTTACTATTTGGCATTTAGCTCTATGAGAAATAGTTCCTTTAAGCAAGTTCTGCGCAAGAGCGGAGAGGCTAATCCCATGCCTCTGACAGAGAGTTATTTTTACATAATTATTTGTCCAGCCCCCCCAGTAACATGATATCAGGCAACAAAAAAGATAATGTGACACTGTGCTAAGTGAACCCCAATCAAGAAACTAAGAGGACTTTATTGGGGTTAGAGACTTGATACAGTCTTTTCCTTTGTCACAGAAGTATGTTTTCCAGCAGATAGATGTGTTGGATTTTTCCAGCAGTAAGGTACATGATTTATTGGAAACTCACTGTTTGCTGTGTTTCAGAGAAATAAAATGAGTGACAGGTTGGAAAGGGAAGACAAGGAAACAGGGTGTGCAGAGACACAGTAGGAGACAGCCCAGCCCTGCAATCGGGTGAAGAGCCTGCACAGTTTCTCACTGCCTCAGTGTCAGCATCTCTCCCACACAGATTTTTAAGCACGTACTTGGACCTCAGCAGAAGTCAGCCAGGAAAATATTGTGAGATAAATAGTTTGGAGTTTTATATAGCTGTCATTTGCAGAGCATAGATTTGCTCAGTCTTTTTTACGTTCACTCACATTTTGATCGTGAGGCTAAAGCATAGGGTACAGCCTGGTTGTCTCAGGCATCTCATTTACCTCCAAGTGGTAGATGCTGAATGGGTCGGTCCTTCTAAAGTAGATTCCCAAGTTTCCATCCCAAGGCGATGGAGAGCTGGATTTCTCCTGCAGGCCTCCAGCAGGAGGGTCACTGGGCTTTGGACACTCTTCTGGGCTCAGAGGAGCAGGAATCCCTTCTGAAGGCTTTCACAGGCAGTTACCTCTGTCCAACATGGGTATGTACTCTGGGAGCATCTGTCTGCTGGATATGTGGCAGTCAAGCATTCAAGTTAGATGATTGTTGGATCTTACCTGAAGTGTACGTGACTTCCAGTTCCTTCCCAGTGCCAGGTTCTGTCAAGAGGCACCTGATGATGGGGAGCCTTGCTCAGCCGCATGTGGGGTATGAGGTACAACCTGGAATAAAGTGGGGGTTTCCTCTGTAACGTATTTTAGACAGCACAAGTGCTGCCTGTAGGAAAAGTTGTCTGGTCTGTGCTTTGCATTGGCATGTTTGGATTAATGCTGCTACCTTATTTCAGCATTAGGTGGTGGAAGGTGAACAAGGCGTGTGTATTAAGAGCTGTTTCTGCTCTGGTTTCTGTTTCCCAGGGATATGAAGCTGGATGGTGGACGCCAGTGCCATTCTACTGGAGTGTGTCTGAAAGAGATAATTGGTCTTGAAGGTGTGGAGCTCGGAGCAGATGGGAAGGTGGGGATGCTTCAGTTCCTACTCCCTTAGATTTTATGTAATAAGGTAAAAAAAAGCTTAACTAATAACCAGCACAAATATAAACATAAATTATAACATGCAGTGTAAAACAGTAGTTAAGGCACAGTATGTACAAACTGTAGATAAGCTGAGCAGAAGTTCAGGAGGACTGCCCAAGCTGTCAATGCAAACAACTCTGTCTCCTTGAAGAAATTTGCCTCTGGCAACATCTGACTCTGTAAAGCCTTACTGAATTGCACAGCCTTCCCCTGGCTCTAGCAGCAGGTATCACTCCAGAGTGTATTGTCAGGGGCTTGAAAACAATTTCTGGTGAGAGTTGTAAGCTGTAATTCCATTTGCTCTCTGTTTTATTTAATGAAATAGATTTTGCTTAACAGTATGTTTTTCCAAAGAGCAGGAAGACAGTAGTACAAATCTGATGAGTATTTCAAAATCCGAGAGTGCATTCACTTGAATAGTATAAGCAATTATGAATCTTTAGGGAAAGTGATCTGTTTTAAACAAATATATAGAGGAGAGACAATTTTAATCATAAATGAAAACATTTTTTGCTGAAGGCCTGATTTACTTTTTACAGTTCAGTTTACCCAGTCTGCTGTCATGTATGGATTTAAAGGCCCTCGGTCAACGCTGCTACACATGGTGTGCTCACCTAACCAGGTGTAAGACCAGACCACAGGCTGTAAATTCCTAAGGACAATCTGTCTGCTTATAAATAAATGAAAGCTCATATGTTTTATTTGATAGCTGTTCTGACCTCCTCGTAAACCAGTCTAGAGTCTGAGACTCATTTTTTTTCTTCAGTATTAAGTTATTTTTGGAAAATAAACCTATGAGAAGCAAGGCATAGCCTATTCCTGGCCAAGGGTACAAGCAGAGAATCAGTAAGCTCTAAAAATAATTTTGTCACAAGTTATTCATTCACACTTAGTCCATGTTGGGAGGCAGTAAATGATCTCCCACAACCATTGCTGTAAACTGGAGCTTACTTACGACACCAATAAGACTCTGCCAGACAAAATCCTAAAGGAAAAAATACCAAAGTGCTTAAGTTTAGCAATGTTCAAGTGATTTGCCTCTGGCAGCTCTGTGCTGAAGGGACCGGTGTAGATGATGCTGTTTCACTAAAGAAGCAGCTGAAATCTGCTACAGATGAGGCCCACTGAAAAAAACCCGACCAAACTGACATATTTTTAAATCTGACCCTTGAGTAGGATTTTGTAAATCCAGTGTATTAGAGCTTTTGTGTGTGTGTTTGTGGTTTTGTTTTGTTGAATTAATACCTTTGCAAAAGCTTTTTTTGCAAGAATAAACGGACTGCACTGAAGCAGATGTAGGTGACTGGTGTTTATTCATCTGTGCCTAACTATTAAATCCAGAAAATCCTCCACTAATTTGGCTTCCCTCGCTTCCAGTTGGGATGCACCAAAGGCATCCCACTGCAGCTGAGCTGGGCTGATAGTAACTGTCTGTCTGTTCCGAGTTTCTTTTTAGACGGTTTCATATACACAGTTCCTATTTCCCACCAATGCTCTGGGAACTCGGAGAAACACGATAGACTCCACCTCATCCTTCTCCCAATTTCGCAATGCAAGCCATCGTAGCCTTTCTTTGGCAAGAGCTAACAGCACCCAGGGGAGCATTGATGCAGGTAACTTCTCAAGAAGCTTCTTTTAATATACTTGCATAGCCTGGTGATAGGCAGTTATTATGAAGGATGGACATATGTCATGTTTTAGCCCCCTTTTTTGCTTAAATTAAGCAAAATATAGTCTCGTGGATAAAAGAGCTCATTCTCTGTTTGCTTAGCAAAGCTGGCTTACAAATGATGGAAAGTTAAGTAAACAAGACTGCTGATCGTATTGACAGCCCCTGATGGCACTCAGCCTGCCTCCTGTCACTGGCATTGTTTGTTCCTCCTGCATCAGGCTCATCATTACCTCCCTTTGCTATGGAAAATTTACAGTGGCAACGTGGTAGTCATAAGCTGAAGGTGTAAATCATACTTGTGACCTTTATTAGGCTGGAAAGGGCTGTGTTTACAAAACTGGGCACAAAACGTAAGCCAAAGCACTGTATGCTTAAGATATTTTGGCATGTTAAATGAAACAAATCAAAACATCTGCATAAACAGATGAAAACTTGTTGCTGGGATTAAAAGTCATTGTGGACCTTTATATAATTTTGCAGTTCTCTCAGCCCTAAATTCACATTTACCAAGTAATTCATAAGCTGTAGGTCCTCCATATCTTTGCAAATTGTATTAGTATTGAAATACTTAGAGTTTTCAAGATTTAGAGAAATCTTTTGACTCTTTCAAAAATCTTGCATGAAGATCATCTTGTGCATTATCTATGAACTCGTTTGCCACTTCTGATAAGTCCAGAAATTTCTTCATGTAATGAATTCCTTTCTTATATTTACCATTGTTTTATAGGTAGCGACCTGGGAGACTTTGTTGAATACGACCCAAATCTTTTAGATGATCCACAATGGCCATGTGGCAAACATAAGCGGGTTTTAATATTTCCTTCATACATGGTAAGTGATACGCAAAATTAGGTGTAGCACAGATAAATTTTGGTAACAATATTTTGAAGGTTGAGGTTACATTTGGCCATATTTTAAGAAGATTATTATTATTTTTAATCTACTAATAACAGATGTTTGGAATGCTTTGTTCTAAATGACAGTTACTTACTAGGACATGTAAAAGCAAACTCGTGGAGGTATTACAAAAGTAAACGCTTTTATTACTGCTATATTTCGTAAATGCTTTAGATGAAAGGCTTGTTCAAACAATGTGTTCATTCTCTCACATTCAGAGGAAAATTTATACTTCCTCTAATTGGCATCTACTACAAAATAGGAGGATGCCCATTAGGGTTTTTCTGAAGTCATGAAGCTGTATTGTGTTTTGATGCTTATCATTCACTCCTTGGAACAGCACTTTGGTGTCTAGTAGAGCCTTTGTTTCCCAGGTATTTATCTCACCATAGGATAGGCCTTCTTTTAATTGCAGCAATTATGAGCAGAGCCTGTGTGTTTTTCACTATATCCAAACCTGTAACAATACAGACACATACCTGTTCCTTGGTCTGTGCTCTAACTCAGTGTTTTCTGTGGTGAGAGACTTCTATAGCCTTTCTTCAGCTGCACCAAGTCTGTAGACTTTGGTGTGCTATTTTGGCAGGACTGTTGCAAGATGCAGTGCCATTGTATGCATGTGACCATCTATCTGTCTGAATTATGCATCCAAAGTAGTAGTAGGCAGCAGGGAAAACCTTTTTTTTTTTTTCCCCAAAGTGGTGAACTGGTACTCTTACCTGTATACAAATAGGATAGGATTTGAAACACTGAGGTCTAAAGTGTCATCCATCACCTCACTTAACTTGGAACAGAAGATATTATTTAAGAAACTGCTAATGTATGTAAAGATACAGTCTTTGCAGGATGTCTTCTGCCCTGACCCTGGTCTTTATTTGTTAATAGGGCTTTTGGGTGCTCCTTCTTAAAAATAAATGGATTTTAAGTGTTTCATGTAGGTTGAAGCTTATCTCCTTGCTGACAAGAGTGTTCTGCCTGTTGCACAAAAAGGCTTAATTGAGCTCTGAGGCTGTGTTTGTGCTAAATTTTCAAATAGGAAGTCCAGTATGTCCTCTGCTTACTTTCAGCCAGTTTTACTTTTAGGGTTGGCAAGTTATTTTTTGGCTGCCAACCCACAAAGCATCAACCTTTTATGGCAGCTACGTCTGGGTGGAAAAACATTTGTTAGGTTTTGATACGGTTATTGTCAAGGACAGGAAACTGTCTTTCCTCAAAGAGAAAGACATTGTTAACCAGCATCCAAAGTGAACATAGCTTTAGCAGTCATGGTTGTGTTTCTAACCTTCCTCAGGCTGCGAATGTGTGCCAGGCAATCTCTAGTCCTCTACGATCACCTGAGATCTTTGATCCTTTTTCAGCTTGGTGTAGAGATGGTTGGGTGAGTCAAAATAGGGCAGCCAGGATAGTGTCCTGCAGGGGAGGTCTCTGCCCAGGAGTGGGTGTTTGATGCCCTTCTTCTCCATATGCTGGTTAGCCACAGCATTTTGAGGTCTGTGTTTGTACCCTTTTTGCAAAAAGGAGCTGACTAGAGATTTCCACTGTGACAGAGGTATGACTAGATACTTTAAAGGTGAAAAATGTACTTCAAGGGCAATTGTTAAAATCAATGTAATTGTCTAGACTGTATCTGCACTGACAGGGGTCTCCCTGCTTTTTCATTTTCTCTAGCAGTTAATTACTGCCGTGTCTGGAAACATGTCTTATTTGACATTTTGGGGTTTTTTGCCTGAATTTGCCTTCCAGCCATCACTTCTTCAGCACTGCCTGAGGGTCTGCAGCACTCCCAAATCCCTCTCTGAAGGCAGGCACTAATCTAAGAAGGGGCTGAAGGACATTAAGTGCTGTGTTTCTTTTGTTGGTGAGAATCGCAGGCACGTGCCAAGAGCTCTCTTGTTCAAGGATTTCACCTGCCCCTGGTTGAAGCAGCATAGCTGTGATGCCATGCAGGAGCTACGCAGCTTTGCAAGAAACCAAAGAGTGGGTGGTTGTTCTTCAGTGCTCAGCTGAGAGATTTCACAGGGGCTGGTGCTTCCTTCAGCCGAGAGAAGGGAGAAGAGGCAGTGCCAGGATGTCCTGGGACCTTGCAGGTTAAATAGGATTTTGCAACTCAGGCTGCGGGTGAGAAGGGCTTGTGCATTGAACTGGTGAATATAGGGCCATATTGGCTATGTGGGAGACTTTACTTATTAGACTTTCCTGACTCAGCTGGCTTTCCCCATCCCTGCAGTTCACATCAGCGTGAACAGGAGCATAATAGGCTGTAATTTCAAGTCATTTTCTTCCCCAAATATAAAAATCGGTGTATGCTGCAGTTAAAGGAAATTGCAGTCTGAGGCCAGCGAGAAACCTGTGTTTTTTTCCTGACCGTGCACACCCATCGTGGTAGTGACAGATCTCTGCCAAATGACCGCGGAACTGTAGAGCTGCTATACAGAGTCTCTGGTCCTGAGCAGAATATAGCTGTAATTACTGCCTCACACAAGTGCCGGAGCAGCTGAGAGTGGCTCTGATGTCAGCGCCAAACATTTTGTTGTGTGTGGAGAGCTGCAGCTTGTAATTAAAGTTTCGTTACTTGGCCAGCATTTAGCATTAATGCTTGGCAGCTGCAAGCTTGTAGATATTTCCCCTCCCCGGTTCCTTATGGATGTCAGAGCAATCAATGGGGGGAAGGTGTGCGAGAGGAATGTGAACACGTGGCGGTGTGGATGAGCGAGGCTGGATGCTGGGCTGCAGCACTGGCTGCGGGATAGAGCTGCATGCACCAACCGGTATTACTCCTGGGAGCCGGGCTTGTGCTTTGCAGGCCAGGATTTCTCCACTGGTAAAACTGTGTTGAGGTCTGTGTGAATGCTGCATCAGTAAACAGTGCAGGCTTTATCCTGAGGCATGAGACGGACAAAATGTGTGGTGTGGCTTGGATTTTACTCTGAAATACATGCAGTTAACACTCAGCATGCCGTTCCCTCCATTTTTGGGGAGCCCGAGTTTATTATCACTGACATTGACTTTATAGTCTTGTAATTTTACTGAGCTGAATTAGTCCTGACTTGCAGAGGATTTTTAACTGCAAGTCTTCAGCTGTTTTCAAGGAGCAGCTGAGCTTCCTCCTTGAAGATAGCTGTGGGGAAGGAGAAGTGCTTTTGGTTTGGTCTTTTTTTTGCAGTGGAGTTCCTGGCTTGAAAGGGTATACACTTCCCTGTTGCATTTCTAAAAGTAATACCCACAAACAGCCTGTCAGGGGACGATTCTGAAAAAGCAGCTTCAGTACTTACCCAACACAAATTCTACAGCTTCTATTAATTGTATTAGTCATATTTAAATCCTAGTCTACCCCGGAGAAATTATTTCACTTTGTGTCATCTTTGTAGGAAAGTCTACAATCTCTGCCACAATATAAACAGTAAGAGGTAGAAAAATTTCATGCTGAAGGCCAGGGGGAGGAGGGAAACATCATGTCACGGTTAACAGATGTCTTCCTGGCTGATACTGCTAAAACAGGAATTCTTGCAGATTCTTAAATCTCTCTAGAATAGGAACTTTATCTACCAGACAGAGCAGTAATTTCTTTGCTAGAGTCTCATGTCAACCAGCGTACATCCAGACTTGTCAGTGCCTCCCTGGCCTCCCTGCATCCTTGCCAGCAGGAACAAACTCCTTTCATGCAGAAGGAAAAAACCTCACTCGGCAACAGGCGTGAGGCTGACCCCACAGTCCTGCTTTTGTTGGTAGCACAGAAACGCAGGAGTGTGTTAGCTGGCTGCTGTGCACTGCCAAAACTTGCAGCAAAAGAAGAAAAGCCCAGATCAGTAGCATCTTGACTTTGAGTGACCCTTGTGCAATAACGTCCCTGCAATATCCATCTATCCGTGCCCAAGGGATACACATGGAAATTGACTTGGGTACTTAAGTACAATTTCAGTGCATTGGTTTAATTATGTCAAAATAAATTGACATCTCTACACCACTAATAAAAAAAGCATGTCGCAAAAGTCTGCAGTGCTCTTACAGCAGGCCGACCGTCAGCCTGCGTGGCAAAAGGTACTGCACTAGTGTCGAGCACAGCCAGGCTGCGTTATTAAATATTAGTCCTCCAATGTGATTTTAAAATTAGAACTGCTTGCTGCCCTGGCCATTTAGTCTAACAAAAGCCCTGCATGATGATATAGCGCATTCAGTCTCTTGCTTCCCCATTCTGTCTTTCACAAGGAGCATCAAGGTCAGGAATACTCCGCTACGGCCAGCGTCCTTCGGTGCCATCACCCTATTCTTTAAGCCGCTTCTGTAGTTGTAAATTAAGCAGCTCCAGACTTCTTTTTTATCAGCTGCTGACCTTGTACCCAAAAGTCTCAGGGAGCAGAGGATCACAGTGGTGCTATATATTCATATTTAAACCCTGTGCTCTATGCATTTAATGCTATATTTGGCTGAGACTCCAATAAACCAGTTTTGTAACAATGACGCACTGTGTTAATTGAGAATTATTCCAGTGTGTTAACCATATAAAATAAACTGGCACCCTTCCATGTACTTTAATTCAAAGAAGCAGTTTTGAGATTATTTGCTTTGTGAAATTCAAAAGCTTTCAGTTTAAGATTCTTGAATGTTAGTAACTTTCTAACAACAGAAAGTTGTCTTTTAGTCTTCCTTTTCCTTTTTTTTTTGTTGGTTTTTTTTCATTATAAATAAGAAATCACTCCCATTTTCCATCACCATTTTAAGCCTTTGCTCTATCAGGATTTCCCATATATATATGCATCTTCAGCCATAATCATATGAATTAAGTTACTGACAGTTTATAGCTACATATCTGGTCACCTGTGGTATGCATTAAGGTAGCCAGGCAGCACAGAGTCACTGACTTCTTTTCATTTGTTATGTGGCTGAGAACTTAGTGTTGACCTACCGAAAGTCTGTTAAAGGTACCAGTCTTCTGTCTGCTCTCTGTGAAGTAGATTTATCAGGGGTACACAGTAACAACAGCTGAAGAGAACCTATTATATATCTTTTATTTTATTCACCTATTTTATTCTGATTTTATCCTTCTTAAGCAGGTGATAGAGGCATCCAAGGCTAGATCATCTTTTACTGGTAGCATGCCAAAGTAGGATTTATTTTCAACAATATTTCATCTTGCCAGTCTTTCCAACCATTTCAGGCATCCTCCCTCCTCCCATATTTATGAAACTGTATATACAGCTTTCCTATGAGAAAGCAGCTGCTTGAAAACACTTGTGAATAACACACAAGCTAACCTCCAAGTTCAAAACTGCCAGCCATGCAAAAAGTGTGCAGAGTACAGACTTCGGCCGAAGCATTCATCATGTCATCCAGGCATCTGGCAGCTACCATATATCAAGGCTTTCATTTGTCTTGTGCAACTTCCATCACCAAACTAAAATACACATACACAGATTTGTATACAGAGAATGTGAACAGAGCTCATGAAGGAGTATTGCTGAATACTGAAGTGAAATGTGTTTTGTGCAAATAAGCTGTGAGAAACAAGACAGACGTTTCTGGATGACAGAAGTTGCAAACATTTGAGATCAGAATTTGAGAAAGACAGTGTGGTAGTTCCCAGTGCCTCGCTTATGTGTCTGACAGCTCTGGGGGTGCGGAGTGCCTGCCTGGTAGGGAATACATTATCTATAAGAAAGCATGTTTGGATAGAAAAATGCTGTGCTCCTTCTAGGGAAATATTTGCAAGCCCTTCATAAAATTTGGGACATCGATGTTGAACAGTGCTCTTACACGGGCAATACCAGAATTGTTTTGGACAGACAAAAATCCATGGCGTTTACAGTCATGTCTTCTCCTCAACGTGGCAGCTTCATTTGGGACTCACAGAAGCGTAAGCGCTAAGCAGAGAGCAGGCAGCAAAGGATGCTGTTAGGGCAGAGCCCTCCCATGTCAGATACCAGCTGGCCCTCGTGGGTCGCTGGGCTACCCCAGAGGTTTCCTCTGCTCCATCCCTTATGGGCAGGGGCAGCAGTGGGGGTTGCTGCTCGATGCCAAGCTGTTCGTGGGGTGCAGGAGGTGCCCTGGGCAGGAGTGGGGTCGGGGACCGGGATTTCTGTGTAGCCTCGTGAGTGCTGTGCCCCAGCCACGGCATGACAGCGGGAGGGATGCTTGGGTGTCTGGTCAGAAACAGTTAGAAGGGGCAACTGATTCAATCACTCAACTAATTCAGTATTGCTTTTAAATTACCTGTCAACAGATAGGTTTTTGGTTTTGGTTTGTTTTTTTTTTTTGCTGCCTGCCTCTCTGGTGGGCAGGGTCCCACATGCACGCATTTCTACAGGCACCAGCTGGGCAAACAGCATCCCACTACTCAGACAAAGTTTGGCTTCTGCAGCAGCTATGGAAAAAAAAAAAAATAAAGGGGGGGGGAAGAAGTTGCACAATTCCTTTTCTTGAGAATAAGGGCAGTTAGCTGAGGTCTCCAGCATGGCACTGACAAGATGAGACAGCTGCCTTAGAGCCAGTGTGTTCAAACATGCTGCCGTTATCCTGTTACATGAATCAAAACCAGCACACACCAGCTTTCATCTGGATTTCATTATTGTGATTTACATCGTAGAGACTGTTGTCTCGCAGGAAGCAACAGTCTTCGGAATTTGGGAGGAGGGGGGAGAGATTCTTATCAACAGGACAAAATTGACAAATCTCTGTGTTTAAAAATAGCCGTACCTCCTTACCATTTTCAGTTTTAAGCAGTCTGCTTATTCTCAAGCCTCTGAGTGCTTTGCTTTAAATAAAATTTTTAAAAAGAGCCTTTCTCCTTCTAAAGAGAATTTAGCTGAATTCTCGCAAATCTCCCACGGCCTGGAGGAGTCCCAGGTAAAACAGACGGTGCCTGCAGAGCGGCTGTGGGGAAAGGTGCACCCCGGGGGGCTGCTGCTGCTGTGTGGCAGAGCCCGAGGCTCGCTCCCCCTCTGCGCAGTCGCCCCTGGAGCTGGGGTCAGCTGGCACCTGCTTGTTAGAGGTGAAAGCAACTGAAACTTGCTGTCCAGCATAATTTCTGTGCAGCCCTTCAGCTGAGTCCAGAGGATGGTCAGGCCTTCTGTCCGCTGCTGGGCCATTTGTGCTGCCAAGGGGATTCTGTCTTGCACACGAGGTTCGTGCATGTTTGCATCCTCCTCTGTGCAGGGAGGATGATTACCTGGAGAGAGCCAAAGGCAAGTCTACCAGAAAAACCCGTGATCACTTTGAGGGAGATAATTAAGATAAAACTAAGGAGCTCCATGGTAATGGAGAGCAAACAACAGGCGGTTAGTTTTTCAGTGAAGCATGAAATAAGGTGTTGTGTAGCTTTGCACAGTAACACTGAGCTCAGTCTTTCTAGAATTGCCCAAGACAACCAAAAAATACTGGTAGTAACTAAAATCATCTTTGGATTTAATAGCAGGTAACCTTTATGTGCTTAGAGATTCTTGACTACGTAAGTAAGAGCAGCAGGGACCAATGTTTCTGCACTTTGAGTAGCAGATGGCACAGGTCTAAATTATGTTATGTGGCTTGTTTCAATCGTCCTCTTATAGCAGTACTAAGAGGAGCCCTGTTAATAACACATAAAACTCCCAGCATATCTGTGTGTCAGAAGCACCCAACTTGCTGATGATCCTCTGGCAACAAAACCAAGGAGTGGGCAGGCAGGCAGGCAGCGACATCCCAGGGAAAGACAGGAGAGGAGTAATTGGTAAGATCTTCATTCTTCTGCTTCAGAGGGCTGAGCCCTGCTGGGTGAGATGAAGAACATGAGAAGCTGTCTGCAACAGAGGCACGGCCGCACGGGTACGTGCCTACGTCCTTCCAACTTCAGCAAGATTAAAACCAGGCAGACCCACACATTCAGTTGAAGCCTTTCCCTCCAGCCCTGAGTAGGGAAGGTTTCTCCTCCCTGTCTTTTCCTCTCTTCCTTTTATTTAGGCATGGTAGCATGTTGCCCTGCCTCAGTGTCAAGACAGTGTATGAAATTTTAACCTCAGTGGCACTGCAGCATCTGCCCAGACCTGCGCTCGAGCTCATCCATATGCATGCAGGGCAGCAGGGGTGGCTGAAGGGGGTTGGTGTGGCATTCTCCTTTTTGATGATTTCTTATAACTGGCAGCTTTCCTTAATAGGACAGAATTTCTGTAATAAATTGTCCCCTTTATTTTAGCAAAATTTTGACTGGTGCTTAACACGTAACTGGGTCGGAGGGGGCTTGCAAACTTTTATACTCAAGACAACAGCACAAAACTGTTGTGTGTGACGTGCCCAGCAGAATTTCCTGCCAGGACGTAGTGAGGAACAATTTATCTGGACAGATGGTGCTTCTCACACTGCAGGTCAGACAGCAGAATAGTGTGTATGGCCATAACAGTGCACTGTAGCAAGAAGCTGATTTTTTCCTCTTTATTACAGAATGTTTACCTCAAATACTGCTGTGGGCTATTTAGGGCATACTCCACTTTCTTTTAAATTCCTGTAATTACCCATTATTTCAGTACCATAGCTCCTAAATAAAGTGCAGGAAAAGTTAGGTGTGTTTTACTCCCATTCATGCTCATTTCTGATCCAGCCAAGGACACGATCAGATAACAAGAGTTGTCTGATTGCTCTCTAGAGCCATTACACTCTCTCCTCCCCAAGCCTTTCCATTTTAATTTTTGAAAAAAACCTGCAAGCCTAGGCAGTCAGTCTTTTGGGCTGATTTAGATTCCTATTATACAGTGAGGCTCCATCTTTTATAAAAGTATAACATGCAGCAAGTGTTTTGCATGCCTCTTTCCACCTCTTGTTCTTTAGTGTTAACAGCCCTTTGCCATAACACAGGTTAATCATAAATGGAAATTAGAAGGGAGAAGTTATTTTAGTGGAAGGAGAATGCACTGCACTGCAGACCGCTGCTCTCCCACTGCCCGCGCTTGAAGCTGGCGAGGAGCTGGATGCCTGGGGACAAGGTTGTCCCCTGGCTGTCCTGGGGCTCTTCCCTGCTTCTGTCCAAGGGGCAGAACAGCCAAAGCTGGGAAGAGAATTGGCACATCCCCAAAATGAAGGTTCATTTGTTGTACAGCTGATAGAATTTGGCCAGGTGAGTGGTGACAGAGGATTTGGGCAAAATTGTTCCTGAACTAATACTGAGGGAACAAGAGAAGCGCTGTGCACTCGTAGATGCGAACACTGGCATTGCAGTACTGGCTGGGAGGGCTCTCTGCTATCTGGGGAAATTCTTTAGGTTGTGACAAAAAGGAATAGAAATCTCAATGCAAAGGAAATAGACTGTACACTTTGAATGTTGTCCTAACTCAATACTTCTTGTCCACTTATTGCATAGCTTATGACAGCATTACTGTCTCACACTCCATTGTATTACCTGCCGCGTAGGCTAATCACCTATTTTATCACAAATGTACATGGTGGCAATCAAGAATTTGTACCAGTGGTTGCTTTGAAGAAGCAATTTGAGAGAAACTCACAATATGCCTCAGAACTGCATGGAGATATGCACACAAAATCTGGCCATCAAATCAGTTATTGTGATGATTTATTTTGGTTTAACAAGACTTCTCAGCTAGGTTTTATCCACCTGCATTTCACTTAAACTCACTCTCAGAGATACTTGGAGGATCCTAAGAAGGTATGTGTTGTTCAGGGCTTGTACTGAACAGTCATGTTGGATTTCAGGTCGCTTGTTCTGACAGAGCAGTCAGAAACAAATGTGGCCTTAATTCAGATTGAATTTTCCCCTCTACTGAAAGCATTGGGACTGACTGGCACTTGTTTGGTGTTACTTGCTTTTGGTAATTGAGTGATCTTGTTTATTACAAACTAAAAGAATAATTATTTCTTAACTACGTGTTACAGACTACAGTCATAGACTACGTGAAGCCATCAGATCTCAAGAAGGACATGAATGAGACCTTTAAGGAGAAGTTCCCTCACATCAAGTTAACCCTCAGTAAAATAAGAAGGTACGTTGCAAAGCTTGGTAAGGCTGCAACGTGATGCAGTTGTCTCACATTTCAATGCAGTTGCTCTTGTACCTGAGGGGAAGCCCAGCACTGATTGATCTTCCAGGAGCAGTGACCGGCAGAGGTGCAGAATAAGTCAGATGATTGCTTTGATTAGTGGACTGAGTAAACAAGATAGGGGAATGTACAAACATGTACCAGTCAGGTGTCAAACACGACGTCTAGTGGGATGAGGATGTGAGCTGGGCATGCGCTATACTAAAAGTTCCAGAAAAATAACACAAAAAGCTCTCCAAGCTCATGGCACTGAACTTAAAAAAAGACCGAGGAAAGAGAAATGCTGACTTTTGTGCCTTGTCCAGAGAGCATGGCCAGAAGCAAAACAAGTGGTCAGCTTCACAGAAAAGTTCTAGTATTTCATCACTGTTTCCAGTGTAACAGGCTAGACATACTGCTTCACTGAAGTAGCAATAATTTCATTTGACTGAAGTGGCCAGAAGGATACTGAGTTGTATTGCTCTCTAACCAGACAATACTGCAGTACATGGAAAGACATGGATATGACCAACCGTAACCAGCAGCAAAGCTGCATATAGAGCACAAGCAATCAAGCTGTTGTTACTAAATAAAGTATATGCAGCTTAAGACTTCTGATGAAATATTATTAATAAAAATGTCAAAAAATTTTCAGTTGCTTTTATAGTTAGACACAACTATCTGTTGGGGGCAGTGAGGGGGAAGGCTGAGGTCAAAATGTGCTGTGAAATGTGTATCCAAAACAGAGCATAAAGATATCTGCCCAGTAAATTACGTTTTACTTTTCCCCTCCATTTGACTAAGAAGGAATCTCTGAAAGGATGACTCTTAGGGTGAAATGAGAAATGCCTTATAACGCAGTTCACAGCATACTTGTCTGGTCTCTTTACTCAGCTTGAAGAGAGAAATGCGCAAGCTTGCTCAAGAAGAATGTGGTTTTGAAGAGCCCACAGTGGCCATGGCCTTTGTCTACTTTGAGAAGCTCGCTCTCAAGGGGAAGCTGAACAAGCAGAATAGAAAGCTTTGTGCTGGAGCCTGTGTTCTTTTAGCAGCCAAAATTGGCAGTGACCTCAGAAAACATGAAGTCAAGCATCTTATAGATGTACGTATCCATAGGTTTCCAGTGTTCCTTCTGCATGAAGTGCTAGTGTATGGTCTACGCAAGCCTGCTTGTCAGTGGTCACACTATCCTCTAGGTTTCCAGCTGTACAGCCAGCTAAATACCTTTTTTTTTGTTATACATTTATGTGAAAGTAGTAGTGATCAATGTCACTGCAGAGGCGTGGGAAGCTCGTTTGATGTGACTGAAGACCCTGGTGTCAAATACTGTGAGTTCTGAGAGGTATCTGACCACCATTCTGTCAATACAAGTCAAAAGTTAACCTTCAGGAAGTTCATTTTTCTTTTAATTATGTTTTCAAGAGTGTCAATAACAACTCTCCTTTGAGAGGTAAATGCAGATACTAATTTCAGAGGGAGTCTAATAGACTACCAAGATTGTATTTCTTTCATCATGTTAAGCATTTGGGCAAGAAAACATAAAAAAGTGTTTCCATTAGAACACCTCACCCCAAGTGTTTTTTTGTAGAGTAAGGTGTTCGGTCTTCCACCCACTCCATATGAAAAAGTTAACAGAGGGGAGTGTTATTCCATAATTCTTTGCAAGCACTGAGATACCAATCTGATTTAATCTACAGAAAGTTAGGCAGGTAGCTGGGTACTTGGCTACAACCAACTCACTCGGTTGAGGAGACATGGGAACTTGGTTGGGGGACAGGACTGAAGTCATACCCTTCTGCCACAGTCACAGAGCTGGGTCTACAGTCAGTTTGTTAGAAAGCTCTCCGAATAACCAGAAAAAAAATCAACCCAGTGGGAGTTGGAAGATCTGGCGTCTCTTGCTATACTGAAACATTGGTCCATCCTTAAGACACATTGAGCTTTTCAGTAGACCCAGTGGGCAGAGAAGTAGCAAGCCAGGGAGATCATAGGAAGAGGATGGGGAGGGGCAGAAATACTCCTGAACAGCTGGTTGCCTACTTGTAGCATCCAAATCCAGTGAAACAGCAGAGCAGATGGGAGGCTTAGTACATTACAGCAGAAAGCCAACTATGAAACCCATCTCATCCCCCTTGAGGGCAGTAGTTTCTGTTACTCACTGTTCTTATGGTTGTTGCAAATGACACCTTCTGCCTCTGAGGCATTAATGTCAAATGTATGTAATTGTAGCAGAAATAACTTCCCCAATAGGGTGTTGTAACACAGTCTAATGCTGAAAGGAAAATCAGTGATTTCAAGCAGTGCAGGAAGTTTGTGGGCAGTTACGAGATGTGTGTCTTCCATTACACAAGTGATTTTGATGTTTGCATGAAGCCAGGAGTTTCCTCTTCCTGCAGTGGTAATCACTATGATCGTTAGAAGATGTATCTGCTGGAGATGGAATGAGTGAAATGGCAAACATGTCAGAAATAGCATGGCTGGCTGAGCTTTGTATGTTCACCTCCATAGCAAGGAATCAGTAGATCCAGTTCATCCTGCTCTCATTTTCTAAACCTAGAGCCATGCAAGTCCAGCGGGGCAGAGGTTTAATGACAGCAGCATGCGTGTTCTGAATAAAGTCGTCTGTAAGAAAGCACTAGAAAGTCAAATCCTTATTCACAAAGACGTTGTTTTTATTTGTATTTTTATCTCGGCTGTCATTGCAGAAACTGGAAGAGAAATTCCGGCTGAACAGGCGAGAGCTGATCGCCTTTGAGTTCCCGGTGCTGGTGGCCTTGGAGTTTGCTCTCCACCTTCCCGAGCACGAAGTGATGCCGCACTACAGACGCTTGGTGCAGAACTCCTAGCGCTGGCTGCCCTGCGGGGAAGGGGCTCCCGACTGTTCCCGCTTGGCTCTCCTGAGCTGCAGTTACTACTGGAAATGCAAAATCAGACTCCTAACACTTCACTCTCTCTCTCTCCCCAGAATAGTTTTTCCGGCAACATATATGAAACAGTGCATCAGCCTAAGACTCTCAGCTTTGACAAATTTACGTATCGTTACTTTCTCAAAGCAGGTGAAGACTGAGCTGTTGGTAAATGGTTAACATGCTGAAACTGGGTGGTGACTGACCCTACCTGTGGGGACTACAGCTAAAAAAGTAGGCGAAAATTTGAAGGGCAGCCTCCATGACCACCCCTCTCTCCATCACACAAACCCTGGAAGCCCACGTGAGTGCATTCTCATAGCGCTTTTTCTACAGACCTGCTGCAACTTCCAAGAGGACTTCTTAACGTGAAAAAGCTTTTAAAGATGATATCTTCACTGTGTCAAAAAGAATGTGCCAATCTATTTTTGTATCAGCAATTGAAAGTGCACTTTTTCCTGTGGGGTGTTTGTGTGTGTATCCGTGTGTGTGTGCGTGTGCGACACCAAGCTGATCTCAGTCCAGTTGGTTGGCTTAGCTGTTTCCGAGTATATCAGTTACCGATGGCGAAGATCAAGGTGACCTTACGTGTTTACTTCTTGAAAAACATAACTACTGGAAAAGTGGTAAATGGGATCATTTTTGGACACTTGGTTTTTTTATTCTCTGATCTTTCCAACATTGTACCTTTGAAAGGATTACACTACTACTACTATGAAAGAAGGATCAGCAACTGACCTTAAGTTTTCAGTCATGTTTGTGATAAAGATGAAAGCATTAGTATGAGATTTCCATGTCATGTTTTTTAAAAATATCTTGTGTTAAGCCACATGCATATTTTTAACCTTCGCACTTTTCCCACTGTGGAGATGGTTAGACTTGCACTCTGTAGTGTTGTATTTCTGTGCTCTATGTTAGAGTGCGTAATAAGCACATTTATTGTGCTCTATCTTAAAACAGTGTTTTATTAAAAAAAAAAAAAAAAGAAGAGTAGGGCTCAGCAGTATAACAGGTGTCTTAAGGCTCCAACAACAGGGGCATCAGCTATTAAAGTTTTGGGTTTTAACTAGAATTAACTGTGCAAAACCGAAAATCAGTGACCATTGAAGTTAGAGGTCCAGTTCCTTTAGACATTTCACTACTAGAGTTTTATAGTAAAACTTCTTGCAGCTTCCCTGGTTCTAACTGGACACCCAGAAAGCTGGAGGGTTTCATCCAAGCTCCCCGATGCTACATACACACTATGCTAGTGCCATGCTTACGGACATCGTTCCAATTGCTGTTATCCTGTGGGATTACACCCCTGTCCAGTCTTCTTCTGTGCTGGTTCACTTAACAAGCCTTGCCCTTGACATGCCCCACATGGATCCGGTAAAGTCAAATACTTACATTTAGGGTAATTATATAAAATAAATAATAATCTCAGCTGTGAGATTTTAGCTGAAGCCTTACCTTTCTAAGTTTGGGAGTGCTTGCTCAGAGTATGGAAAGGGCTTGTGAGCAGAACGTAGAGAAGTGGGACATACCAGAGGATGTAAACACACTAATGCTTACTTTCTTTCTCTCTTACTTAAATCAGTTTTATTATTTCCTTCAGTTAGGCCAGGAAACATCCAGTTTCTTTACCAGCTTTGTCTCCTTTAAATTCTAGTATGAAAAATGCCTGCGTATGATTGCTCTACAGGATCTGGAAAGGTTACACATGCCAGGACAAATGGGAATTTGTTTGTTGCTGTTGCTCTCCCTCCATTTTAAGGGGGAGGGTGACTATGCTAGCTTACAGTTATTATTAATACTTATCTAATTACTGATATAGATACATTCCAACAGGATTGGGGAGGAGGGGCTAAAGAGAAAAGCGTGCACTTAACCTCCCCGGTGCAACGCCCCACGCTGCTGCAACCCACGCGTCACTTGGCCGGCTGTGGAGCGAGGGGAGGGGGGGCCCTTGCCCAGCACTCCTGCTCCCTCCTCCTCGTCTTCCTCCCGGCCCCCACGCAGCCAAGGAACAGAGGAGCCAAGAGCCTGGAACATGCCTAATGCCTACAGCTGCCCTGCCGGTTTATTCAGCCCAAGAAGGCGGTGTGCAGTGTTGACCTACAAGCCAAAACGGTCTGCGGGTCTGCTAGGGGGGCTTCCATCCTTGGCTGCATCCCTTCCCACTGAAATCGTGTATATATGTTCAAGACTTGCTTCTGATTGCAGAGATCTGTTTCTAATAGCGACCACTCAAGGCTAAGCAGAAGCTTTACCTTTCTGTAAAGGCTTCTACCTTTTGCTTTTGAGTCTGATTTTTTTTTATGTTGCTTTATAGTATTGCAGGGAAAAAGCAAATTGTGATTGCAAGATGCAGACTAAAGAATGACAGTCTTACAGTAGTCTTTAGAGACGCTATTGAATCATGCTGTCACATCTTTTGTCTTCTGTGCTGCTACCCAACCCTGATCTACAGTTTACACAGATTTCTGGGATGAAATCTGATTGCTGGAGACTTTCTGCTTTTTGTTGTTTTTCTTCTTGTTGTTTTGGGGGCGGGAAAGGGTTTCAGAGTGATGTTCAGTTACAGTTTGAATGTGGAATAAACACTTAAGACGATGATGATGTTGCACTGTTCACTTAGGAACGTATATAAAGCCATATGATGCTAGATCTCAGAGCACAAAGCTTGGTCAGTACAATTACGGTTAGGACAACGGGCAGGATTTGCCCCCCTTTTCTCTCCAACCCTGGGAAAATTCAGGCTGAAGTGGTAGAGGAAATCTGTACCAAACAAAAACCATGTTGATTGTTTTCCTTTGTCTTACATGGTAATGAGTGTTGATTTACAAATGATTTTAGGTTCAAGTTTAAATAGTTCGGGAAAATAATCCATTCCATATCATTTGTTCTGTTTTGAAATTCTATACCGTACACTCTACCATGCAGAGTTTATTCCTTTTCTAAAAAAAGAAATAAAAGTTTAAAAAAAAATAATTGAAAAACCCAGACTCTTTTCCACCATTGACAGTATGTAAAATTATTCCGTTCTCTCATTTGTATGTGTCAAATGGTTTTGGTTTTGTCTTCCTCTGGGAAATAAAGCTGCTTATTAATAAGCCAGTGGTGGGATTGCCTGAGGGCCCTCACCATCTCTTGGCATTCGTCTCCCTGCAGAGCCCTCACTTCCAGGATCTTTCCTCCAGCCAACATATTAATCTTCTTCTTCCCAGACCATTGTTCTGGGTTTGCTGGTTTTTTAAAGCCCTTCTTTTTGGCACCAGCTCCTCCTCCTGGAGCTGCCAGGCCCTGGTTCTCCTGGTCCAAACCATCGGTGTGCAGAAGAATGAGGTACAAGCAGGCTCCTCAGCATTGCTCATGTCTCACAACCCCTTGTTCACTGGAGAATTTGGGATACACCACTTTGGTTTAGTGCACGTGGTAGCAAAATTTACAACTGGCCCCTGCACCAGTTGTAGATCACAAGCAGCTGCTTCCACTCGGGAGGTTGAAAGTTCAGTTTTGGACATTCATGCATGCACACACCCAATTATCCACCACCTGTTGGCATTCAAGCTATTATTTTCCACCTATGATACCCCCTAAATCCAACACCTAGCTAGGTGGTCTCACCAAACAACACCTATTTATTGTGCATTTTCATTCCATGTTAATAAAGTTATGTGGAAGGTTTGGCTCCTTACCTCCACCCATCACTGTCTGGGTTCTCTGGAGACCCTCAGCTGTAAATCATATTTGTGGCAATAGGAACATTAGCTGGATTTATCCCCAGAACATAACAGATATACAGAAAAATGCTTTACTACTAATTTTCCACAACTAGTTACTAACAGGCAGTGGCTTCTTTGGGATAGTCTGTAACGTCTTTAAATGATACTGCAGCTAATTGCTCCAGCCTCATAAAATATGGAGCCCACAGCATAAGTCTTTCCTGGAAGCAGTAAGGAGTAGTTTGTTAGGAGACGGTAACACCTTCCCACGATGCTAAAAGATTTTAGCACCAGGCCCCACATTAAACATTGAAAAAAAGAAAAGGTAAAAGTAGTTTAGCAAGGTGAGAGACTGAGCAATCACAGCAACAATGCTAACATCACTAGCTGAGACTGAAATCTGTCCCAAGTTGCACCTTTGGGAAGGAAGGGAAGGAGTGTGAGACAGATTTGAACTTAGTTTGCTCATCTTCCATTGTAAAACTTCTAGTGAAGAGGGAAAAAAAAGAAGAGGAAAAAGAAACTTCAGGTGCATCCCTTCAAAGAAAGTTGCACACAAGCATAAAGGCCTTTATGAAATCTTAAACCTTGTTTTTTCCCACTGACTTCACTGTGAGCCCATACATCCAGACACTCCCTGCCTCAGCCTGGAGGCCGCTGGTCCGGATGAGCTCAGAGGGGAGCTTTTCAGTCACTATGAAAAAAAACCTTGCCCAGACCCCAGCAGCAAATACCAGGACCAACAGTGAGAGGAGGGGCAGCGCTTATAGTGTGCTACTGGGAAAGAGCAGGAACTGTGATCCTGGAAAATGGCCTGTATACCTTCAAAGCAAGGCAGGGGGAACCAAGAAGTTGCTGAAGTTGCCGCTGATTTGAGCAGCAAACACTTCCTTCCCTTAGTGAGAGCTAAATATTGGGTACTAGCCAGTTTGCCTTTTCTATGCATTCCTCTAGCCTGTCATACACCCCTTTCCATAATCTTGCTGAGCATCATCTTAAACCAGAATCAGCTAGGACCCTTGCCTCTGCTACACTGTTTAGACAGATGCTCCAGGCCTTAATTCCTCAAACCAGAAGAAGCCTTCCAGTTTGCAGTGAAATTTAATTGATGACTAATTTATAACTTTTTGAACTCATGTCAGTATTTCATCTAACTTGAAACTGAAATCTTTCCCCTGTGGGAACTCGGGGATGGGGGGGGGTCCTCAGCAGCAGCTGCTATTCTTAACGAAGTTCTGGCATTTAGTTAGACAAGATATTAAAAGGAGAGGCAAGAAAATAACCCTCTTCCAAGAGCTTCCAAGTGCAGTGAAGTGTTGCTTTGGCTGACATCAGTGGGTATGTCCATCAAGGAAGAAGTTGTTGCAGGCCAGGTTTTCAGAACCACTGACACAAGGCCTCAACTTCCCTCATTTTTTAATTCAGCAGCATCAGTGAGCTAGCCTTTATACTCTTCTCTCCTTCCCAGCACATACGGACACGAAGGGCAAGTTTCCCTCTTCCCCATTGCTTCCCTCTACCAACAGCTGGAGAGTTTTTACTTTGAGAGTTGGCTGGGAGAGCAAGAGGCTGAAGAGGCAGAAGCGTTCATTTACAAACCAGTATTAAATCCCTGGTGTCCACAAACAGAGACTCATTTACCAGAAATGGATTCTGTTCATTGATTTAGGAGAGGGAATATTGGGCTTTTCTTTTAGTTTTTCAACTGAGCTTCAGGCAAGCTTTTCTTCAGCACCTGTAGAGGCTGGAGCCTGACAGCAAGGAAAGTTTTGGAGAGTAGATCTAGACTACCTCAAGCCACCTGTTTCTCCTCTGTTGCCACACCGATTATTTGTGTTGCCCGCACAGCTGCACTGTGCTGGGTTTTTACAAAGGACAAAG